GAGCACCCACCCCCTGCGGCCCCCCACCCCGCCGGCGGCCGCATCACCCGGAGCCAGCCCAACCACGCCGGTGCTGCCAGTGCCGTCAGCAATGGCAAAGAGACGCGGCGCAGCAGCAAGAGATAACAGGCGCCACGGCACAGACAGCAGTGTCACCCCCCACCCCAGAGGGGTGGGGGAGGGGGTTCCTTCCCCCCTGGGCTGAGCAAAACCCCCCGGCCCCACCACTGTGAGGGCAGCCCAAGCCCCACGGACGTTGCCAAAGCCGCCCTGGGTCCCAGGGCTGCCCTAGGGAGCGGGGTGGGAGCAGCCAGGGACCCTCTGAAGGCATTTGGGTGCCATGATGTGAGGTGAGCCAGGGGGTCTCAGCCCACCCCACTGGCTCCCTGGGACCAGGGGCTGTCAGGGCTTCACTACTATGTGCCAGCTCTGGGTGCCAGGGTCTCTGGGGATGCCATGGGCAGAGGTTGGGGGTCTCCTCTATGCCCACCTGGGGCCCCGTGATTGCACAGGCGAATAAAGCTTTTACCTCCACTCTTGCCTTTGCTGCCGGGATGGGTCCTACAATGCCCAAATGCAAGGTCAAAGGTCAGTGCCGGGCAGTGCCTGTCTGGACCCGTGTCCCCAACCTGGGTTGCCACCTCAAGGTGCTGTCCCCCTTCCAGACGTCCCTGGGCAGACAGGCCGACAGCCCCAGGCGGCAGCCTGGCCTAGTGGGTGCACACCCACATGCCCGAGCTCCCGCCCTCCCCCTCTCCTTCCAAGTCTCCTCCCCTGGCTGGATCCCCACCCCGGCCCTGCCCCCGGTGCCCCTTGACCCCAGGTGCTGGAGCAGCAACCGTGTGGAGACGCAGCCACCCGGGGCCTGACCCCCACTTCCCTGCCCTGGAGTGACACCTGAGACCCCTCCCCACAGCACCCGGCAAGGTGAGCCCCTGCCCAGCCCTCCCTGGGGAGGGGTGCAGGCTGAGTGGGGGGCCCAAACTGGTACCTGGGGTGCAGGGGCTGGAGCAGTGCCATTGGCAGGAGGCCCCCATGGGTGGCCTGGGTGAGATCTGCGACATGGGGGTGTCTTCCTAGCCCTGTATGAAAAGGGGACCCCCCCACCTCCCTCCCACGGGGTGGGGGGGCTGGATGGGGAAGTCAAGGACCCTGCTGTATGGGGAGAGGTGACCAGGGCTGTGCAGGGCAGCAGTGGCAGAGCCTGGATTGGGCTCTTCCACATTGGGGTGGACTGAGAATTGCCCCCTGCTCAGGCCTGGGAATGTGGGGCTGTGACCTTTGGCCCTGTGTGGGGTGTGTTTATGCATGTGCGGAGGGGGGGGGTCATGCCTGAACGGCTTATCACGACACCAAGAGAAACATTAACCCTGGTGCAGGATGGGGGCAGGGCCCAGGCCAAGGACATGTTACCCCCCACCCCCGGGGTGAAGAAGCCCCGGCCCCATGGAGCAACATGCTGGGGGGGGTGGGCGGTAAGAAGTGTGTACACGCATGTGTGGGCCCACCCAACCCCCGTGATGCCAGCCACAAAGCCTCTTCCCTGCCAGCAGCAGTTGAGGGTGCAACTGGGGAAACTGAGGCAGGACCCACCCCCCAACCAGCTGGCGCCCAAGGGGGGGTGCAAACCAGGCGTGCAGGTGGCAGTGCTCACACGCCGGTTCGTAAACACATGCATGTGCTCACGCCTGGCCCAGCGCCCACCCTGGCCTGAAGGACACTGACACATGGGCAAGGCTCCGGGCTGCTACGTGACGGCTCCGGGGACAAGGCGCGTGGGGGGTGGGGTGTTGCGCCAGCCCTCGTGCCACCTGGCTGCAGTCAGCACCGGAGCTGCGGGGAAGGTGGCTGAGAGCTGCTGTGACAGACGCCCGTGCCCAGCGACCAGGTGGGGCCATGCAGCACCGTGGGGCTGGGGGCCATGGGGGGGCTGCCATGGCTGGATGTGGCTCTAGCACTGGCCCTGTCCTTCAGGTGCCCTGGAGAGGCCCATGGGGCTAAAGCCACAAACCCCACCAGAGCAGGCAAAACAAGACACCCCCCAACAACTTGGGGCAGGAGGGAAAACAGGCATGTCAGGGGGGTTACAGGAGGGGAAACTGAGGCAGGAGCCAGCTGTTGGCGATGCGGTTGTTCCAGGTGCCTGGAGCTGCCTCCCTGCAAGCAGGGGGTGCTCCTGGGTCCTGGCTGACACCTCATCCCACCCCACCACCAACTCCCCAGGCTCGGCACTGTCATGGTCCTCTGGTCGTGGCTGTGGCTGTGGCTGTGGCTGGTGCCGGGGGTGTCAGCGGGGCACCCACCTGAGGACGCGGAGCAGGAGCAGGGCTACTACCTGCAGCAGCTGTTTGGGCTCTACGGGCACAACGGGACGCTGGCCCCCGAGGGGCTGTGGCGCCTGCTGCGCAGCCTGGGGCTGGGCCGGGTGCAGGTGGTGCAGATCGACCACGAGGACCTGGGCCATGGCCACGTTGCCCATCTTGATGCGCTCGACCTGCAGGACGGGCACCACGTCCATGCTCGTGCCCACCACCATGGCCATGGCCACAGCCACGACTACCCCGGCTCCCAAGGCCCTGGCAACGCCACCACCAGGTACCACCCTATTCCCCTGGCCCATGCCCCCCCCCTCCCAACCCACAGCCTCCCCACCTGGCCACTGCCCCTCACTCCAGACCTGCAGCCCCCAGACGCCCAGCAATCCTCCCGGTGCCCCTCACTCCCAACCTGCAACCCCCTGGCTAGCTGGTGCCCCTCACTCCTTATCTCTCCCACCCCAGCCTTGCCGGTGCCCCTCACTCCCAACCTGCAACCCCCTGGCTAGCTGGTGCCCCTCACTCCCAACCCAGAGCTCCCCCAAGCCCTTTGGTGCCCCTCACTCCTGACCTGCAGACCCCCCCACTGACTCCTACCAGCCCTGCTGCTGCCCCTCACTCCAGACCTGCAGCCCCCCGCCTGGCTGGCACCCCTCACTCCCAACCCACAGCTCCCCTAAGCCTTCCAGTGCTCATTCCTGACCCGCAACCCCCTCATCCCGCCCCAGGGCTCACCCCAGCTTGTCTCCCTCCAGTGGGGACATCCCTCCTGCTCTTCCTTCCTCCAGCCCCACACCCGAGGCTCCCCTGGCGATGCCCACATCGCTCACTGAGACGCGGAGCCCCAGTCCCAGGGGGGACCCAGGGCCTGGGAAGGATCCCCCGGGGCTGAGCCTGCTGGAGCGGGTGCTGGCGCTGGACCACTCCGTCTACAACCACCTGCACGAGGATGTGAGTGGGGGCAGCGGAGGTCTGGGGGGGGGTCTGTCTCCTCCACTTGGGGCTGCATAAGTTGGGAACCAGGGTCCTGAGCCCCTGCTGTAACCACTAGCCCACGTGGCCCTCCCCAGTGTGGGCAGGGAACCCAGGCATCTGGGTGCCCAGGGTCAGGCAAGGAGCCCCTCAGGACTGAGAAGGGAACCCAGGTGTCCACCCCCCACCCCAGCTCCAGTGCCCCCCCAACCCCGTCCGTGACCCCTGCAGTGCCTGAACGTGTCGCAGCTGCTGGTGAACTTTGGCCTGGCCGGGACGGCGCAGATCACCCCCGAGCAGTTTGCGCTGCTGTGCCCAGCGCTGCTCTACCAGATTGACACCCGTGTCTGCCTGCACCACCGCCCTGCCCCAGCGCCGCCCGTGTCCCAGCCTGCCCTCGGCCCAGGTAAGGCCTGGTTCCAGGGAAACTGAGGCACAAGGAGGGAAGAGGCACCGGGGAAAACTGAGGCACATGGGGGAACAAGGCCCCAGGGAGGGAAACTGAGTCATGGGGGAGGGGAAATGGGGAAACTGAGGCACGGGGAGGGCAAGGGCAGGGGGGAGGGAAACTGAGGCAGGGAGCAGAAATGGGGGAAACTGAGGCACAGGGGGGAGAGGAAAGGGGTGGGGAACTGAGGCAGGGGGCAGCCCCCGCCTGGCCCCACCTGCCGCCTCCTACAGCTCTGGGCTGGGCCGCCCTGGCGGTGACGCTGCTGAGCCTGCCCTCGGCGCTGGCACTGGCGCTGGTACGGGTGCTGGGCCGCGCCCTCCTGCACCAGGTCCTGGCCTTCCTGGTGGCGCTGGCCGCAGGCACCCTGTGTGGGGACGCCCTGCTGCACCTCTGGCCGCACGTATGTACCCGTTGCCGCGCACCCCAAGGCCCCCCAGAGAGCCCAGGTGTCCAGGCCTGGTCCACCCCAACCTCCAAAAGCCACCCAGGCATCTGGGCCCAGGATCTGCCCCCTGCCCCCAAAAAGGAACCCAGACAGCCCCTCACCTTCAAAGGGGGACCTAGGCGTCCGGGTCCAAGCCAGGCTACCCCGCTGACGGGTGCCCCCGCAGGCGCAGGGCCGGGAGCCGGGGGCCACGGGGCCGGACGCAGCTGTGCTGAAGGGCCTGGCACTGTTGGGTGCCATCTACGCACTCTTCCTGCTGGAGAATGTCCTGGGGCTGCTGCGGCGGGCACGGGCCCCGCGGGTAAGAGCCAGGCTGGGGGCCCGGCAGTCCGGGGGTGTGGGGGGGCAGACCCTGCTCACTGCTGCCCCTCTCTGTGCAGAGGGCGGCCGCAGATGCTGAGGACAGCGGCACCGGCCTGAGCATCCTGGGCCCTGCACCAGGTGAGCCACATCCCCGCCTTGCACGAGGGCCGCGTACCACTCACCACTGCCTCACACGAGGGCCCTGTGCCAATCCCTACCTACCTTGCACAATGCTGTGCGCTGGTCACTGCTGTCTCATACATGGGCCATGTGCCAGCACCCCCCCGCCTCACACACAAGCTGTGCACCACCCATGTCGCATGAGGGCCATGCATCAGTCCCCACCTACCTTGCACGAGGGCCCTGGTCACTGCTGTCTCACACAAAGGCCATGCACTGATCACCATCACCTCACACAAGGGCCATGTGCCAATCCCCACCTGGTCATCACCATCTCACAAGAGGGCCATGCACCAGTCACCCTCACCTCACATTGAGGGCCATGTGCCACCTGCCTCACACGAGGGCCATGCACCAGTCCCCATCTACCTTGCATGAGGGCTGTGCGCCGGTCACCGCTGTCTCACACAAGGACTGTGCGCCAGCCCCGCCTCGCATGCCTGGTCTGGACACTAGTGTGATGTCCCTTGACCCAGCCCCCCATACCCCCATGGCGAATTCACTCCCCCTTCCCCATTAACTACCACCACTAATGAGCCCTGACCCTTCCCTTTCAGGTCCCCCCACCGAGGCCCAGCACCTGGCGGCCCCAGAGCGGGGTGATGGGGAGGACAGAGCCGAGCACAGGGCGGGGAGCCTGGACAGCCACACCGGGCATGGGCACTCGCATGGCACCAGCGTGGCCGACGTGGCCTGGATGGTGATACTGGGGGACGGGATCCACAACCTGACTGACGGGTTGGCCATTGGTGAGGCGGGGGGAACTGGGGCACGGAGGAGGGAAACTGAGGCATGGAAGTGAGGAACAGACATGGGGAGGAACTGAGGCACAGAGGGGGAAACTGCGGCATGGGGGGGAACTGAGGCAGGGGAGACAAGGCCCCGGGCTGGCACCAAGTGTGCGGGTCCTGGCAGGCGCAGCCTTTGCAGAGGGGCCGTCGGGGGGGCTGAGCACGTCCTTAGCTGTCTTCTGCCACGAGCTGCCGCACGAGCTGGGCGACATGGCGCTGCTGCTGGGTGCTGGCCTGCGTCCCCGTGCTGTGTTCCTGGCCAACCTGCTCTCAGCCCTGCTGGCCTATGTGGGCACGGCCATTGGCGTCCTCGCCAGCCACACTGCCTGGCCCCTGGGGCCCTGGATCTTTGCTGCCACGGCCGGCGTCTTCCTCTATGTGGCCCTCGTGGACATGGTGAGTCCACGTCGTGTGAGGGGGTGCATGTGAACTTCCCCCCTGCCTGGGGAGAAACTGAGGCACGGGGGATGGGGACAATGAAGCACGGGGGGTGGGGGAGAAACTGAGGAACAGGGAGGAGGACACTGAAGCATGGGGGGGAGAAAATCATGGGGGAGAAACTCAGGCACGAGGGAGGAACTGAGACATGGGGCAAGGAGAAATAGGCACAGGGAGGGGGAAACCGAGGCACAGGGGGGAACTGAGGCACGGGGGAGAAGCAGGCACAGGGAGGGGAAAACTGAGGCATGGGGGGACTGAGGCATGGGGAATCTGAGGTGTGAGAGGGGGAGAAACTGAGGTACAAGAGAGGGAAACTGAGGCACAGGGGGAAACTGAGGCCTGGGGAGGGGGAAACTGAGGCAGGGCCCTGGGGAGAAGCCGGGCTGGGTGCTGAGGCACCCACCCAGCCTTATACCCCCGTGGCGCTGAGCCCTGCTCTCCCCACAGCTGCCCCAGATGCTGCTGCGCAGCACAGGCGCGGGCAGGTGGCAGGCGGATGCCGGACGCTGCTTTGTGCTCCAAGCCCTTGGCTTCCTCCTGGGCGGGGGGCTTATGCTCACCATTGCGCTCTTCGAGGAGCAGCTCAGCTTTCCCCTGGAGTCCTGATGCCCCCAGCCCCCTGGCCCCAGGACAGGCCAGATGCAGCCCCCGCGGCCTGGACAGCACCGCATGGCTCCGGACCCCTGGGCTCTCTCCAGCAGTGCTGGGGGTGGGGGGGCTTGGTCTGATGGGTGCCTGAGAGGGTCCCCAGACCCAGCAGGGGAGCCGTGGACATGGGGCCAGGGGTCCCAGCTGCAGAGGAGATGGATGGGTACCCCCCGCGGAAAAGATCCTGGCCCAGGACGGACACGCAGGGTGGGTGGGGGGCCCAGACCCCTCGGGGGGGCAGGGAAAAGTGGAAGCCATTGAATAAAGGTCATTAATGCCAAGCCATGATGATGCCAGGACTTGGGTGCAGCCAGACATGAGGGGGGGGTCGTGCACACAGCACTGTGCCTGAGCCGGTGCTACGTGCACATATGTGTGCACAGGTGTAACTCAAGGGGGGACCGGGGCTGGGCCCAAGCCACGGCTACAGAAGTGTGCACAGACATGGAGACACATGGGCACGGGTGCAACTCAAGTAGAAGCTATGGCTAAGCCAACACTCGCATGCACATGTGTGCGCGTGCGCGCGCGCGCACACACACACACACACACACACACACACACACCTCAAGCAGGGGGCTGAGCCCAAGCCAGGGCTGCACATGTACACATGTACATGCACATGCAAAGGTAGAATTCAAATAGGAGCTGTCTAAGCCAATGCTTGTATGCACATGCACACACACGGACGCACACACATGTGCACAGGTACAACTCAAGTAGAGGCTGTGCCCCAGCCAGTGCTACGCATGCACTAACAGGTACAACTAAGTGGAGGCTGTGACTATGCCAGTGCTACACACATACACAAACATGCATAGACGTGCTGGTGCAACGAGCCACCACTACAAACATACATGTATCTACACACACATACAAGTTCACACACATGCATACGCACAGATGGCCACAGACACATGCTGATGCAACTCAAGTAGAATACTCTGCCCAAGCCAGTCCTACAAACATATAAATGTACATGCACACACACAAACGTGCATGGACACACGTGCTGGTGCAACTTAAGTAGAGACTCTGACAAAGCCAGTCCAGTGCTCCATGCCTACATGTCCACTTGCACACGTGTGCACATGCACAGATACAATGCAAACAGGGGCCGTGACAAAGCCAGCGCTGTCCCCCTCCCCCCGATGCCCTCCTAGGGGCACCTCCCTCATGGCACAGAGCTGGGCAGGGGACTCCCTCCCACAGCCAGGAACCCCCAGCCCCGCCCCCCCCTCCCCAATACCTCCCCCGTCCTGGGCCTTGCACAAGATGCCAGAGCCCCAAATGCACCCAGGCCAGAGATGTGCGGAGACCAGAAGAGGTTTCCATGCATTTGCTTTATTGTTTTCAAGTGGACGAACAAGAGAGAAGGGTGGGGGGGGGGGGCGTAAGGCCGCGGTCCTTGGTCCGTCGTCTCCTCTGCAGTAGGAAGGGGCCGAGCCAGGCTTGGCCCTGCAGGTGCGCGCATGTGCATCATGTACAGAGGTGCCCGGGACAGACACGGAGAGCTCGCCGCGGGCGCCTTGGAGGCGCAGCCACCCCCCCAGACACCGGCTGGACTCCCAATTTCCTCCGAGGACTGTCAGGCTGTGACCCTGGAGCAGGCTTTCCATGTCCACCTCCCCACAAAGCCTCTGACCTCTCCCCCACAAAACAGGGTAGGTTCCAGCTCCTATGGATGGGAAAGGCCAGCTCGGACCCAGCGCGGCCACCCCATCCCGGGAGACAGAAACAGGGAGAGTGCGAACAACTGCGCGGTGGGACTGGGGCAGGGGCCGCCGGCAGGCCGGGGTCTGGTCTCCTTTGGTTTCTTATTGAAGGCAGAGGTGAGAGCTGGGGGTGCAGCGTGAGTGGGAAGGGGGGGCTCCAGTCACTGCCTGGGGGGCATCACCGCGTCCCCCCCTCGCTGGTCCCTGCACCTGTGGCCTTCGGCGGATGTGGGGGGCTAATCTAGAGGGGTTGTTAGTGGGATTTTGAACTGGAAATTCAGCCTTTTTTGGCTGGGGAGGTGGGGGGTGTATCCCTGCTCTCCACCCCCAGCCCCTTCCCTTGCCCTGCCCAAGCCAAAAAAAGCCGAACTCAGTGCTAACAACCGTGACCCCACAGAGGCATGGAGAAAGCAGCCGATTAGGGCCCCTTTGAGCCCACGGGAGCTGGTCACCGGGTGCCCGCTCGGTCCCGGACAAAGGGGGGTGAGGGCAGGATACATCCAAAGGAAGAGAAAAAAGAACACCGCCCGTTTCCTGGGAGCAGAGACGCCCGCTCCGGTCTCAGCTCCAGGGACGGGGAGTGATTCATGATCACATAAGGTTGCGGCGTCCCCGGGTGGGTACATTCAGTGTTTGTCAGCAGTTCTATGGCTCAGGCGGGCCGCGGCCCGGTTCCTCGCTATGGCAGTGCAAATACACCTGGGAACTGAAATGTATTTGTGCTGTGGGGTTTCGGGGGGGGGGTGGTCTTTTTTTTTCTTTTTTTTTTGCTTATTTCCTTCTTTTTTCCACCCAACTTCCCTTGCTTCTTCCTTCCCTAGACAGACTTGGAAAAAATAAAATCAAAGCTGGAAAGACGCCCCATGCCCC